TTTTTTTTTTTTTTTTTTTTTTTTTTTTTTTACTTTTTAAAATTTAAAAAGTATGAAAAATATTTTTTTTGTTTTTTTTTTTTTTTTTTTGTTTTTTTTTTGTTTTTTTTTTTTTTTTGTTACGTTGAATATCAGAACAAATAAAAAAAAAATAGAGAGTGTTTGGTTTGGAAGGGTAATCAAAATAGATTTGTGGGTGTGTGTAAGGGTGGATAAAAAGGGTCAAAGAGCACATGGAGTTTGAGTGTGTGCATAATAAAAATAATAAAAGGAGTGAGTGGAGAGAGGGTGTTATGTTTAAAGAAAAGAAGAGTGGTGGAATAATAAAATTATTATTATTATTATTATTTTATTTTATTTTATTTTATTTTTTTAAATAATAATAATAATAATAATAATAATAATATATTAATGGAAAGCATGTGCGCTGTCGGTGGGAAAGTGAAAAAATGAGAGAGAGAAAGTAACATCAATCAGAATGATCATGTGGAAGTTCTGAAGAAATCGGTGTGGGATGTGGTGGAGAACCAGCATGTTCTGATGAATTTTCAGTATCCAAGTTATGATTTTTGTTGCTTGCAGATTCAGATTTCCTTACCCAGTCAGGAACCTTAGATGGTTTAGAGGGAGATGTTTCTGTTTGTTGTGCGATTTGATGAGCTTCAAGTTCTCCGAGAAAATCGAGAACCGTAGCTTCATTTCTTCGGGAGTCTCGTAGCTCTTTCCATACCTGTGGGCGAATCGAGCAAAGGAGAGGGTGTGACGACAGTGGCCGATGACTTTGAGAACGGAGGTCTCGAAGTCGCGAAGAAGAGCGTCCGATACGACTGTCCTGATCGGATTCTCGTCGGAAAAAGTGGTCGCCGATGATGCGCCAGCGACGACGGCGATGAGGAGTAGGAGGAGGGAGTTGGCCAAGATAGTTAACTTCTGTCAACCACTCCTTGTGGCCTTGAAAACCCTCAGGTTTAAGCTTCTTGACAGCAACAACCATACCAGATCCAGGCTTTGCTGCAGCAAGTGTATGTTCATCGATCCATCCTTTAAAAACATAACCAAAGCCTCCTTCACCTTCAAATCGCGGAGTAGGAAGACTTTCAGTGCTGTTTTCATTGCAAGATGGTACTGTCAGGGTGGAACGAGCTGAAGAATTGCTGGTTTTGCTGCTAATTTTTGAGGTCCCAGTGATAAGGGAGCTCTGAGAAGCAGCAACTTTAGCAGAAGAATCTAAGCAGTTCCCCATCTGGGTGCTCCAACCTCCAAAGATGAGAGAGAGAGAGAGATATCAAGCATCTCTTGTGTATATGAGCTGGTCTGTGTTGGCAGCCATTGTGAAGGCAGAGAAGAGCTTAATTATGGAAGAAGGTATGTGTAAAAAAAAAACAAGCAGATTAGGTTGAGGTCCGGCGGGCGGCTAAGGTGAGGTTGCCGCCCGCCGGGGAAGCGAAAATACTAAGTTCTAAACCTGGCTCTGATACCATGTAGAAATTTAATGTATAAAGAGAAATGATTGTATTATTGATTGTTGTATTGATATTTATTACAATGATTCATGATTCCTATATATAGAAGAGTGTGAGTGTGTAGTAGGTGAGGAGTAGGTGGAGAGTAGGTGAAGTAGGTGAGTGTGTAGTAGGTGAGTTTTAACACGTAGGTCCAAAAAACCAGGACCAGCACATATAGTGACTCATGGAAACCTCAGCAGACAGTATACATACATGATTCAATGTTTCCCCACATGCGGTGCGATTTCATCCTCACCTTAAAAGCAAAAACATGTTAACCTAGGTCATCGATCAGCTTCCATTTTAAGGAAGAGTCAATGGGTCCATACATAGTCATTCCCCAAGGTGTGTTTGTGTGTGTATTTTCATGTTTTATATACATGGATGCATCTATATATACATGAAGTCCATATAACGTAGGTCCAAAAAACCAGGACCAGCACATATAGTGACTCATGGAAACCTCAGCAGATAGTATACATACATGATTCAATGTTTCCCCACATGCCGTGCGATTTCATCCTCACCTTAAAAGCAAAAACATGTTAACCTAGGTCATCGATCAGCTTCCATTTTAAGGAAGAGTCAATGGGTCCATACATAGCCATTCCCCAAGGTGTGTTTGTGTGTGTATTTTCATGTTTTATATACATGGATGCATCTATATATTCATATATGTGTATATATATTTAGTCGTCACCATATTTAGACTAGCAACGTTTCTTTAGAGTTCAAATTAAATAAATAATTGTTGTCTCCTAGGTAGGTAGACTTCCTAGTTAGTTGACTTTCTACTCCAGATCATAGATTTAACTTGATGGATGGTCACTTGGGAATGCTGGTGGTATGGAGGCTGGTTCATTTAGGAGTCAATTGACAACATCAACTGCATTTTCTATATGAAGTCTAGACATGGAATGTTCTTAAAACTGAAGTTAGTACACCCTTTTGGTTGGCCTTAGATACGCAAGAGGCCAATGTTTCAAAACCACATTATTAATGATGACTCCCATGGCTGTCTCTTGGACCAAAATGTAGAGGATAGTTAGATTCAACAGCATGAGTTAACAAAACAAAAGCTTATGTTCTTTTTTGCATCATTCGGCAATTTGTTGCGTGGATTTGTTACCAAACGTTTTTTTAGTATAAATGACATGCCTCAATAAGGGTTTTTTTCTCTCTTTCTTTTCGTTTTTCTTTATTTATTTATTTATTTTGGTGTGTGGAAGGGGAGTGTAATCAATTTTGTTTTCTTCATATTCAGATTGCAAGTTTGCATGCATGATAGCTTTTAATTATTTTTTCTTTTCAAGCGAATAATGAGATAAAATCATTTTGGTTTAGCAATCAGTTCAGTTAGTTGATCATATCTTGACAGAAGTTAAAAACTCACAGTGATTCCAAAGAAATGCAATACTACAATTTCAACTAAATCTGGCTGTTGTTATACCCCAAGGACTAAGATTATGATTGTCATCTCAAAATATTATCTCGGTAACTTTCCACCTCACATATATCTCAGAAACTTCTATCAAACATGTAATAATCCAAAACAAGGCAGGGCCGCACAGTATTCGATTTCACAATATTAATCGGATTGAAGGAGAAACATGGCCCTAGAAATGAGCAAATGAGATTACCTTGGACAAAAGCAAGCATATTGAGGATGCCATTGTCTGCATAACATCAACTGCTGACAGGGAACAATAGCATCCTTTACACTTTGGACATCTGCCTGTTGAAATAAAGGATAACGTGGATTTCCTCAAGATCTATGGGGAGTCTGTTGAGCTCGAGAGGTGAACGATAATAAATTGAAGAAAAAAATTAAAATAAACAATCACACATACAATTGCTCCTCCAACAACTGGAAGACGAAGAGTACTAGCCTTCAAAGCTTCAATTGCTCCGAGCAAAGAAAGAGAGTGGTCTTTATCTAAAGAAGCCCAATCTTCCAAACTGGTAATCTACAATAAGTAATTCAGATATGGTCATAGATATTCTTCTTCTTCATTTTTATTAAAAAAATAATAATTAAAATTAATAAGGGAGATAATTACCAGCCGGTCCTATTGACAGAATTTATTTACTAACAAGTCCTGAGTAAATTTTTTTTACCTATTTGACCCTTGTTTTGATAATGAGACACTATTGACACTTTTTAGATGTTTTTGTATTTGTGGAATGATCATGTGGTACTAGTAATGATACTAAAATATTCATCAACACAATAAATGGTTGCAACATTTTGACTTTTGTTTCTGAGTATTGATTATTTTTTAGTTTGTTTGTGTTAGTTTTTATTGAAATATGATGTTGGAGTTTAAGTAGTTTAATTGTATTTTATTTTTTTTATAAATATTTTTGCAGTAATAAATTTATCATTGAAAGTTGGAGTAGGACTTTTTAATAATTAAGTCTGGTCCACAAGACCAGATCACTTGAATAAATAAGTACGATTGAATATGAGTTTTTGTGCGGAAATCAAGTAAATTTGATCAGTATACTCTCTGCTTGTTGACTGATTATTACCCTCTTTGCCTTTTTTCACTCTTTTCCTGTTATAGAGTTATGCATATACAAAATTAAGGTATATTGTAGGGATTCCATAAAAAATTAGAAATCTTGTTTTAAAATTCCTAATATCATCTTCCCCTTTTATCTGATAAAATCCTTACCAAACCAAACTAAGTTATGTCACAATTAAGTTGGGTTTACCATACGAATTTTTTTTCGCCATTTTGCTCTATCAAGAGCTATATGCCTAATTTTTTTCTTACCCATCGAGCTCCCCTACTTTATTGAATTGTGTGATATTTTTTTGGACACTGTATTGTGAAATTGATGCTTTATTGCTCACCCGCGTAACTCATTGGCTTGAAACCATCTAAAGATTCAACCAACCTACCGGTTTGAGAGAGTCGGCTGTATTTCTTAAATGTCTGTTTTGGAACTCACATTTGTGAACTTCCCCTACGAAGATAGTTAAAGCATCCCAGTGCTTTTAAAGTAACAAAAAATTTGGCATGTAAAATGAAATTGAACAAAAATATGGTCCTATTTTCCAAAAAAAAGATATTCCATAACATTACTCTAAGAAGCCTATATAAAAAATTTATAGCTTTCCAGACTAACAATATCCCAAGCCTGCCTACTTCGATTTACAGTTTATTATTATACGCCTAGTTATGAGAGAACTTATATAATGTGGGTCCTGTGAATGATGTTTTATGTAACTAATATTTTGTACCCGGAAGTGTATTCTAAAATATATGTTAATTCCAAATTTAAAACGTAAACCAATGAAGCACTCTTTCTGTAATTCCAATCTTTCTTTAGTAAATGAAGTTAGATATGCATTCAACTTCCTCTTCTAATTTAGATAAATGTGAAAAAATTTATTACTAATTTGAATCTTCAAGTGTTTTTCATATTGAAAGTCATCCATCCAGAAAAGTGATACCAAAAAACATAATATGCGTGCACAAAGGAGACCAAATATAATGCCACACCAAATATATATTTTCAACCTAAAAGTTCCAGCAGGATTCAGAATTAAGAATAAGAATGAAGCCTCAAACATATCTTACTTGTCCCTTGAGAATGGAGGCTAGCTTCAACTTCTGCCTCAGCAATTGTAAGCGGTGTCTTTTTTTGGTGACTGAATCACGTAGATCTGAGATTGTTATCCATGCATTCCACAGATTTTTCTGGTACAAAGAAAAGTACTTAGCTAATAAAGTCACTAACACTACATAACACTTATTTATTCTGAGAAGTAGAGTAACAAGTAAAAGTTATCTTAGTACATGGTATGCAACTACATATGCCTGGTATGCGAATATTTTGTGTAACAACAGATTTGATTACTGCAAGAAATTAACAAAGCATTGTCCCAACTATTTCCTTTGAAACCCTAAAATCCCTATGTTGTGCCTCTGATGCAGCTGCAAAAACTAACTACGACCAGCCCTAACTAAAGCCCTGCCCTACTAATACACCAACTTTGGGCTTATTACTTGTAGGAAAATGTTTTGTGCACTTGTCATACATCAATTGCAGCCAGTGACTACAGTCAATTCACTCATAATTAAGGCAAGAAGATGCTTAATGCAGATCCATGGTTTATAAGCCCCACAGTGGTACTGAACAATCATAGAATTAAGAAAAAAAGGGAGTCCTCCACAAACAAAAGAGTTAAGACCAATTTCCATAACATGTTCATAGACTCTTCCTACTAATATAATTCAGCATCCTTGGTTGAACACTAGGTTAAAGGCATCTGTAAAGCTAGCTCTAATTCTAGCAGTTATTTAGCGTCCATCATTTCAAGGACTGTTTTAGTATTTCATTGATCAGTGATCACCCTAGAAGGAACACTACAGGGTAACTCATGATTTCTCATATGTCTACTTTGCGCTTTAAAATTTGTCAAAACTCAAAACTCATTTAGTTCATTTCTGTTTGCAAGAATTTGATTCTCAGTAAATAAATTTACCCACCCACCTTCAATTTGTTAACTGTTCCATTACGATAGGTCTTTAATACTAAAACATTTTCCTTCATTTTGCACGGGTTTCTTTTACAATATGACCTCTCTTCACTTATGTGCCTAGAATTATATGTCCAAATAAGCTTGTAAAGCATGCAGAAAGAAAACAAGATGACCAGCTTTTGAATAGAAAACTACTTTAATCCTGCAATAGTCTGTTATATTATACTGTGATCATTGATTACCTTTTTTTAATAAGCAAACCATGATTATCAATTACTTTGAGGGAATATAATGAATGAGAACATGTTTTTTTACGACAAGATGAATATGTATAAAACAAGCAAACCATGATCATCAATTACTTTGAGGGAATATAATGAATGAGAATTTTCAACATATATTAGATCAAGAATAATAAATCAAATTCAGTATACTTTGAATTATGGAACATAACTTAAAATACCTTACCTCTGCACTATGTTTCTGTACCAACAAGGAAGCTTCTGTCCTAGCATTTAAAAATCGCCATTGCAAGTGCCGATTGTACAAAAGCTTTAAAAAGTGCGCATCCACAATCCTATTCTCCCCCCCCTTCCCCCTCCGAACATCAACAGCAAAACTGAGAACCGAAGGTGTCTCACCAAAATTACTACTTATGGTTCCAGAAACTGAATTTCTGACCCGAGCTGGGCTAACCATTCCCCTGGACGGCGATGATCCCATTGATGTCATAAGCTTACTTGGCAATGCAGGCGTAATGCCCCCCCTAACAGGAGACGATATGGTTTGTGGAGATGACAATGGGCCATCATTGGGGAACTTTTTTAATTGAGAAAACTTTGGCGGGGCTGCCATTTTAGCAGGACTAGTTGACAATGCTGAACCCGGATCGCGCAACCTCCTCAACCGACTGTTTGTCTCTTGCCAAAACCTCGCTGCAACAACAATTCCACGAGGCCCACTTCGTCCCCTCGCAACCCCACCATTTTCTTGCACTCCTGAAGTACTACCAGAAGAAACACTATCCGAATCGGATGCAGTGACATCAGACAGCACAGATGACTCATTCACCGAGTTGTTTCCATCTGGGCACTGTTGAATTGCCTTCAAAATCTCGGCATTGCTCAAATCAAGACTTAATCTACCATCAAATGAAGCCCTCCTACCCTCATCAACCATAGATTGCTTCAATGCCCTAATGACATTCCCAGATCCAATCAACTTCTTATTATTATCCTCACTGCAATCTAAACTCCTCCACAATGGGTTCGGTTGCCGGGTCCTAGCCGGCCACCGATGCTGATCAATTGGCTTTGAATTCTCCACCTGATCTCCACCACAATCAACCTTCCCTCTCAAAGGAGTACTAGGCCTCCTCTTCTCCGGCGTACCCTTCCGCACATTGCTTGAATTCGGGGTCTTAGTCTTACTAATCGGAAGCGAAAAAGCTTCCCCTTGAAACGAAACCGATAAGCTCCTAGTCGCAGTGACTAGAAGCTTCGTAGCAGCCGACATTTCGCCCGCCTTCCTCGGTTTCGAATAGAGATCCGGGGCAAGCGATCGAGAAAGTATCGGCCGCCCCCGGCCAGCAGATACCGACCGCTTCACCGCCGCCGGAGACGATGAATTCGACACCGGAATCGAATTTCTAGAAACTAGAGGAGATAGGCACCTCCTAGATGTACAAGATTGTGAAGAAATTGATGAGGCAGTGGAAATGGAAGATGAAGGGGACATATACCTTGAAGGGACTTGCCTTGCTTTGGGTCTTTTGGGATTAACAACACCATTGTCTCTCTCTGAGGGCAACAATGGAGGCCTTCTACGGTTTTGTTGGGTCTCATCTAGTGAACTAGTTTTGAGATTTTGTGGGTTTGTTGAAGCTGCTTCAAAAATATCAGCCACCATTATCACACAAGCACATATAAACCAGAGATAGAGGACTCACCTCACATTTTTTTTCCCAATAAAGAGACTTACCCAAAAGCCAAATCAGTATTTTCCATAGCCAAAACCTGCAAAAAGATCAAGAAATCACAGTGTAGCTCAAAACCCCATGATGGGTCTGTGGACGATTCCACATTTTAAAGAAATGGATGAATATACTAGAAGAAGAACAGCAGAGTGTAGATAGAGAAAGAGAATGGTAGAGAGAGAAGTGAGATGTCCCTCCGGCGAAAACAGAGAGAGAGAGTGAAAGAGAGAGAGTGTGAGAAGGTGGGTGGGAGGGACTAGGAAGGTGAGATTTGGGAGCATATGAGGTGCTAGAACATCTAGAGAGAGAGAGAGAGAGAGAGAGGTTTGGGTTTTGTGAATCTTTGGAGAGACGTTACGCTTACTAATCATAGTTTAAAACTCCAATTTTACAATTGGAGTATTGTGTATTTTTAATTTTTAATAGGAAAAAATTGCTAAAGATGGCCTTTTAAAGTGTCATATTTGTGAAATAAAAGATATATATTGGTATTCTAAATTTTTTGATATTTTTTTATTGACAATTCATCAAGTTAATATTAGCATATTATTTTTTTAGGATTCTTTTGAAAATTGACTGAAAATAATAACAAAATAAATTTGTTTGGTACATTTGTATTTTTTTTAATATTTTTTAGAGCAATTAAAGTGAATTTTTTTGGGCTCAAAAATAATTTGTCAAATGGGTTGAAAAAATTTAACAAAATTAAACCTTTTACCCTACTTCAATGATTTAAATTATTCATCTTCTAAATCTTTGTGTTCAAAGTATTTTTTTTAAAAAAATATTAAATTAATCTAATAATTGTAACATGTGCTATATGACTATAATTACTTTTAATAAAATAAACAACATGACATGAAATTGATATATATGGATATGAAATTAGAAAATGAGAAAGAGGTATCGAAAATATATTCCATTATTATCACCTCTTTCTCAAAGAAAACACAATCCAACAATATTGTAATTAAGTCCACGATTTAATGATAAATAAATTACATTTTTCACTTTATAGTATGATACAAATTTCACTTTCATTTATATTATTTTAATTTAAATAATTTGGTCCATATATTTTTAATTCAATTTTAATTTAGTCATTCTGTCAAAATTTTCATTAAATTTTCCTACTTGTACACTTTAAGAGACTAATAAGTATCTTAAAATTATTAATTTTAACTTCTAATTTAAAATTAAATTTAAAGTTTAAGAATCAAATTGTTTAATTTAAAATAATAAAAATTTAAATCAAATAACAGAAATAAAAAATGTAATTTACCCTTAGGCCCCGTTTGTTTGGGGTTATAAGGAGGAGATTGTAATTGATAGTGAGATAGGACTCACTATATAGGGAGTTTATTTTGAGAAATGGAGATGGAGCTCCTATTCCCTTGGTTTTAAAATAGGCCTTGGGCCCTGTTTATTTGGAGAGTCAGAGAGGGGATTAGGATTGATGTGAGGTGGGACCTATTAATATTGTGTTTGTTTTGAGAGATGGGGAGGGATTGATAGTGAGCTTCGGATTAGGATGGGCTCCCCAAGGAGATTCAGATGGGCCTCCAAGACTTGGTATTAGAAAAATAGTCCGGCGGACTAGAAATTTTTTATTTTTATTTATTTTTTACATGTCGACATTTTTTGTGGAACATTAATGTTTAATTTTTTGTATTTTTTGTTAAGTAAATATCATTATTTTATTTGTTTTATTTATTTTTGAAAATTTTTAATTGTATTTTTATGTTTTTAAAATTTTTTACATGTTGGACATTTTTTTAAAACATTAATGTTTAATATTTTTGTATTTTTTTATTTGTTTTATTATTTTATATTTATTTTAGATAAAAATAATTTAACAATCCCTACACTAACAACTATCATCAAAATAAACACAATTTTACTTAATCAACTCACTCTCAATTCAATTCATTCTATCTCTGAAAACAAATGGGGCCTTGGAAGGGGGATTAGGATTGAGAAGGCAGAGATAGTATTAAAAAAATAATCCCAAGAACTAGAAATTTTTTATTTTTTTTTATTTTTTACATGTTAGGTATTTTATTTGTTGAACATTAATGTTTAATTTTTTTGAATTTTTTATTAAGTAAAAATCATTATTTTATTTGTTTTATTTTTTCTTGAATTTTTTTATTTATTTTTTAATTTTTTGCATGTTAGGTATTTTTTTAAACATTAGTGTTTAATATTTTTATATTTTTTTTATTTTTTTTATTATTTTATATAAAAATAATTTAACAATCCCTACATTAACAACTATCATCAAAACAAATACAATTTTACTTAATTCTTTCACTATCAATTCCCTCCGTATAAATTTCCTACATTTTACCTCTGAAAATTCACCTTAATAATATGGTCTCTTTGAACATCAATCCTTAATATGATTGTATGCTTTACCTCGCACGTACCCTTTGTCCAAGCTTTTTAGTTTGCTTTTATAAATTAATTTTTCACATGAGTTAATACTCAACATTAGTCCCCATGCTGTTGTTTCCTTTGTTTTGTACAGTACTCCCCATGCATTGATTGTTTCAAAGTACTTAAAATCCAAGTTTTTTAGTTTGTTTTTATAAATTAATTTTTCACAGGAGTTAATACTCAACATTAGTCCCCATGCTTTTGTTTCCTTTGTTTTGTACAGTACTCCCCATGCATTGAGTGTTTCAAAGTACTTATATTTTTAAGTGGAATAATGTTAAAAATTTTAAAAATTCTGCTAAAGTTTTATTAAAGGTCTTACATGGGTGTGGGTCGTGTGAGTTCTATACCCGTGTAAGATATTTGGTAAAATTTTTGATAGAATTTTTTAGATGTCTAACATATAAGATATTTGGTAAAATTTTTTGATAGAATTTTTTAAATCTCTAACATTTTTGTTTCAAGTAATCCCAAATATTAAAAATTTAGGTATTGAAAATATCTTTTAATTTTATTTAGCAGATGTTTTAAAAGTTAATTTGAAAAATGCATTTTGTTAAAAATACATTTTGTTTTAAGTTTATTGACTAAAAAATACATTTTGTTAAAACAATCTTACTTAGGCCTTGTTTGGCATCTCCTAAGAAATTCAAAAAGTCAAAAAGTCACTATTCTATTTAAGTCACATCATCTTATTTAAGTCATATCACATCTCTACCACATCACTTCAAATCCAATCCATATTTCATAAAAAATCAAAAAGTATACTTATTTAGAACATCTCAAACAACCCTTTAATTTGAAAAACTCATTTATGTCTAAAAGTCCATTTTAGTGCTTTAAAAAGTTATTAAAAAAGTTTTCAAAAAAATTAAGATTGTGTCAAACGTTAATTTCTTATAGACTTTAAGTCTTGTTTGACAACCTTTTACTTTAGTTTAAAAGTCACTATAAGTTGTCATATCACTCTCTCTACTTTTCTGTATATCTCAAAACGTTACTAAAATAATTTGTTCCCAAACAAAGCCTTATTTTTAGTTAAAAAACTAGTTTTTTTAACCAACACCCAAAAAAAATATGTATATATTTTTTTAAAAAAAAAAAACCTAATAATGAAAGATCTTCTATTTGAAAAATCTCTTTATGAATTCGCTCAAAACTGTTTGATCATATCTCAAGTTTTTATTCTTTAAGATTCTTATAATCTCTTTTTTCAGTAAATTGGAAATGATCATCTCTCTCATACATCCACACAGAAATTCTCCAAAATGGAATAATAAGGTAGCGTTTGGTAACATTTATGTTTTTGGTTTATATTTACAAAAATTTTATAAACTAGTTTTTGTTTATTTTTAGAAAAGAATAAACTACAAATTTGGTTTGAACAAAATGTTTGAATTTTTTTAAAACATAAACTAAAAAGTATGTTTGTGCAGGCCTAAAATATTCATATTTATTTTTTATTATTTATGACAATGGAATCATATACATTATAATTGAAAAATAAATTAATTGAAAAAAAAATTTGTTTTTTTAAAAACCAACGTAAACTCATTTTGTAAGTTAATATTTTTTTCTCAAATTTATAAACTGAAATAACTACTTATAAACCAAAAAAATTATTAAACAAATTTTTATGACAACTTTTTAAATTTTTATAAATATAAATTAAAAATAAAAAATGAAATGATTACCAAACAAGACGAACAATGAGAACAGCAGAACTAGAACAATCCTTGCAATGCCAAACAAATTGGAAGAAACTTCACAAAAAACTCTCAATTAAGCAAGCGAATTAAGAGAACATGATGGTTGCAAAGAAATTTTGTACTTTGATATCATTGAAAAGGACAACACTGTAATTTTTGCAAACTAAGATATGACCCTTTTTATAGTTAATTTTTGTTTAATTAGCTTTCTATATATAGGATGCCCTGTCCCATTCTGTCCCTCGCCAATCTTTCTACCCTTGCTTCAGGGTATTTTTCTTTTCTTTTTCTTTTTTTTTAACATAAGGTATTTTTCTATTGATTAGAACAATCCTTGCAATGCCAAAGAAATTGGAAGAAACGTCACAAAAAAACTCTCAATTAAGCAAGCGAATTAAGAGAACATGATGGTTGCAAAGAAATTTTGTACTTTGAATCATTGAAAAGGACAACACTGTAATTTTTGCAAACTAAGATATGACCCTTTTTATAGTTAATTTTTGTTTAATTAGCTTTCTATATATAGGATGCCCTGTCCCATTCTGTCCCTCGCCAATCTTTCTACCCTTGCTTCAGGGTATTTTTCTTTTCTTTTTCTTTTTTTTAACATAAGATATTTTTCTATTGATTGTGTTTTTTTTTTATTATTATTATTTTATAAAGCATAGTTTGCTTTTACAAATATTAGTTTTTTTATAGATTTATTTTTAGTTAATAAGCTACTTTTTTTAACCAACACCCAAAAAAAATTATAAAAAAAAAAAACTAATAATGAAAGATCTTCTATTTCAAAAACTCTCTCTTTATTAATTCGCTCAAAACTGTTTGATCATATCTCAAGTTTTTATTCTTTAAAATTCTTATAATTTATTTTCAGTTAATTGAAAATGATCATCTCTCTCATACATCCACACAAAAAATCTCCAAAATCGAACAATAAGTAAACAAAGAGAACAACATAATTAGAACAATCATTGCATTGCAGTGCCAAAGAAATTGGAAGAAACTTCACAAAAAACTCTCAATTAAGCAAGCGAATTAACAGAAGGTGATGGTTGCAAAGAAAGTTTGTACTTTGATATCATTGAAAAGGACAACACTGTAATTTTTGCAAACTAAGATATGACCCTCTTTACAGTTAATTTTTGTTTAATTAGCTTTCTATATATAGGATGCCCTGTCCCATTCTGTCCCTCTCCAATCTTCCTACCTCGCATCAAGGTATTTTTCTTTTCTTTTTCTTTTTTTTTAACATAAGGTATTTTTCTATTGATTGTGTTTTTTTATTTTTTATTATTTTATAAACCATAGTTTGCTTTTACGAATACACATATATGTACATAGAAATGAAAAATAATGGAATTAATATTTGTTGTAAGGTGTTATTTTATTTTTACTACACACTCAGAATTATTGTGAGGAATATTTTACAGAGGCGCGGTTTGAAATTAGTATATTACCCATTGAACAACCCAATTAATGGGCTAATGGATAGATCCAACCCAATTTTTATATTTGGGTCTATTTTGACCGTATTTGTTATTTTTCAGATGCTTATATAGAGAGTTATTTTGTGATTTTAAGGTTCATGATGACCTTGTGAGTTTTTATAAAGGATTATTCACAGAGAGAGAGTTAGCATATGGCAATTTTTTCATTTATAATGAAAATCATTTGTTGACTTTTACCTGGGAATATAAGCTTACAATCAAATTATAAAAATCTTTGTCTTCTTTTGGGAAGTGGGTTGATTTTTTTAACTTTTTAGTTATTTTAGCCTAGGCTAAAAAGTCTCATTTGAAATAAATTTTTTGATTTTTTTGACTTTTGTAAGAGAAAAAAATGAAATGATTATGGTTTAGATGTAATATTTTATTTTATTGTCTTTTTAATCTATTTTATCTTTTTATGACTAAATAAGTCTCTAATTCACATGCCAAACATAGCCATATGTGTTTATGTATTTGTGCTGCTTTAATTATGCCAATGTGAGTGAAAAAAAAGAGAGAGAAAAAAAAAGAGCATGGGTGATTTACATTTATGTAATAATGTGCCTAGCTAATCTAAATAATTGACTAAATAACTAACCGACAAATCGCAAACTAATTTGAAACCTAAGCACAACCTAATGAGTCCCCCAATTGGTTCATCAATTAATTCTTTAAAAAAAAGTAGAAAGTTAATTAAAAAAATATTAGACCCTACTTTTTAGTTAAGCTATGGTTGTTATTAACAAATGATGATGATGATGCTTGGAATTTTTGAAGCCATGTGGCTTAAGAAGCACTCCTTATATAATAATAATAATAATAATAATAATAATATAATTAGTTTAAAAGTAACACACCTCTGAGGCACCGTTTGGGAAGGTGGGTTGGAGGCTTTTTTGGCTATTTTAGCCACAAAAAACAAAATAGGTTATTTTAGCCATAACAAACAAAACATCACATCCAACCCATAATCATTACATTCTTCTCTCACAAAAAAACTCAAAAAAGCCAAAAAGCCAAAAAGCCCTTCCCAAACCAAGCTTTTAAGCCCAGGCTAAAATAGCCAAAAAAGCCAAAAAACCAAAAAGCCAACCCACTTCCCAAACGGAGGCTCAGTAAGTGATATTTCTTATCATATAGGAAAATGTTTCTTTTCTTTCTTTAATCAATACTAATTGGATTGAAGGATATAACTGTGTGTATATTTGGGCTCAACTTTATAATCTAATCGTTCAATTTGTAGAGACAACTCATTATTCAATTTGTAGAGTTTGAATCACATTTGTTTTATAATAAAAAAAAACAAAAAACAAATAGTCTTCTCTTAAGATCATATATGTCATAAATTTTTATTTTTTTTTGTTAAATAAATATAATTGGATCCTGTGAATTTCAATATCGAATTAATATAATTTTTTACATAAATGATCTACTTAACCGACCTTACAAGATGAATAGTTTTGCCCCCAACTATATACCATTAATCACATTCTCCTTTCTTAAATACTAGTTAGCCCGCTTTCAAAGTCATTACAAAATTTTGTATTGGTAAAATGATTTTTAGTGTGGACATACATTGCTTACCAGCTTTGCTTCTCCTTTCAACTTCTAATACATAAATGAGAAAAATGTGATAATTCAAGATTAATTTATTCCACCACATTGCTTATAGACTAAAAAATCTCTTCAAAAATGTTATGTAATTAATTTTCTTTCATTCCTTTTCCTTCTTATTATTATAGGTTAGTAACTAACAATTTACATATGTTATTGTCATCAAGACAATTAAATTACTTTTTACAAAAACTCAAAAAAAATAGGAATTATATTTGGCCATATTTATTTTTGAAAACATTGACCAAAATTTGATGTTGTCTTATGCTTACCACGATTGTAAGTCTTTAATACTTCAAAAACTGTCTTTCCTTTTATGTAATGATGATTTTAGTGGTAGAGGAAAAACTAAGATGCAATGATAGAGAAAATTGATCAAAGTTTAAATTGACATCTAAACAGTGCATATAAACATACATACAAGTCTATAGGAAAAGAAACTTTAAAGAATTTGGTATTACTTTATAGTCTTGCATTACAAGGCTTAGTTTGGCAATTGCTTTTAACATATATATATTTTTTCTTTCTTTTTAAACAGCATCAATTTTTTTAATAATTTTCAGGAGCTTTTAGATTAGAGATATTATTTCAAAGGCATCTCTCTTAAAAAATGGCTTGTGATCATTACATGACACCTTATAAGATTGCAACTCAATTGTAACCCACTTCAGAGACGAGTTTTAAATTAATAAAATTGAGTTTTTAAAAAGCATTGAGTACTTTTGGCGCAAAAAAAAATCTTATGGTATGATCTGGATCACCAGTTGCCATGACAATCTCATTCAGGACATCCAAGATTTTAAAACCTAGTCAGTCTACAGCAAAAGAACAAGCACACATCTTGGAGTCAGTCAGGACATCCCACTCAGCAGACGCCAGTGTTCTATCCCGCATATAGGCAGGGAAGGAAATCAGAGTGCTGATGCTTTAGCAAACCTTGGAGTCAATCAGCAAGAACATCTTGTGTACCCGGAGGATCCACCTAGCTCTTTACTTTCTTTTCTAATTACTGATACGGTGAATGCTAATTCTGTATTTCAAAGGCATCTCTCTTAAAAAATGGCTTGTGATCATTACATGACACCTTATAAGATTGCAACTCAATTGTAACCCACTTCAGATACGAGTTTTAAATTAATAAAATTGAGTTTTTAAAAAGCATTGAGTACTTTCGGCGCAAAAATAAATCTTATGGTATGATCTGGATCACCAGTTGCCATGACAATCTCATTCAGGACATCCAAGATATTACAACCTAGTCAGTCTACAGCTAAAGAACAATCACACAGCTTGGAGTCATTCAGGACATCCCACTCAGCAGATGCCAGTGTTCTATCCCGCATATAGGCAGGGAAGGAAATCAGAGTGCTGATGCTTTAGCAAACCTTGGAGTCAATCAGCAAGAACATCTTGTGTACCCGGAGGATCCACCTAGCTCTTTACTTTCTTTTCTAATTACTGATACGGTGAATGCTAATTCTGGAAGGGATTGATATATCCGAGGACAGTTTTGTTTGTAAACTCTTTGTTGTTTCTTTCCTATGAATCGAAGGAAAAAAAAAAAAAAAAAAAAATAAGAACACAACGTCAAAAAAAAACAAGCACACAGCGCCAAATTTAAAAGCATCTAAATAAAATCAAATGTTTCTAAAAAACGAGGAAGATTTTCTAACAGATTTATCCCCACACATTTCCCAAACCATTTGACTTAGGTGTTGCATTAATCCCAACTTTCTCTATAGCAAATTTTTTTAAAAGTTCTGCTTTTACTTTTTCTTTCATTAATCATATTCCAAGAAGTAATGCATCAAAACTGTGATGGAATTGCAAGCAAAAAAAAAAAAAAATAGTAGTCTGCACAACTAGCAGACTCGATGACGTGGTTCTAAAAACAAACTAATAATCACCAAAATAAACTAAAAGCAGCGACAGTTTCAGGACAGTTTGCCTTCAGGTTTCCTCCAAATCAGTTGCACCACAACACGACGAAGAAGCAAGGACCAATCCAAAACAAGTGATACCGGAAAATTCTTGGTTCACCAATCAATTAAGTTCAACATTAAATTAAGACAATAACGTCGTTACAATAATAATGGTTTGTATCCAAACGATAGAACAATCATAAAGTTACTCTAATCAAAGAAAACACCACATTATACTTCTGCAAAATCATCTTCTCTTGTAGAACAACCAGCACAATGCTTTTAACGGTACTGCAAAGACAAGTAGTGACACAATAAACATTCACTCCGAAGAATTAACAGGGATCAAATTGTTAATTTATAAGATCTCCAACGGTGAATCAAAAATTTCACCAAATCTGAGTTAAAAAATGGCCATTTCCTGAATTTAATACTTCAGGCTCCAACGGTTCACCTTCACCAAATCTATCCCGGGACAACCGGGTGGTCGACCGGCCGGTTGACCGGTTAGGCCAAAAAATTTTTTTTTTTTTTTTTGCGAATTGTCTGAACTTTTTTTGAACTTTCTGAACTTTTTTCGGGACAACCGGGGTGGTCGACCGGCCGGTCGAGTATCTCAGACCCTTCGCTCTTAGCTTCTCTGGACCTTGACGATCAACAGGTATGCCTCTCGCATTTTTTTCCTGAACTGTTTGAATCTTTTACTGGTTGACCGGTTGGTCAACCGGCCGGGCAACCGGTTGGTCGACCGGTGTACCATTTTCAACGGTCAGTAATAGTGATTTGGTAAAATCTGTGTCTTGATCTCAGTTTGATGTCTTGTTTGCTGAATTCTCATTTTGGTATGACTTTGGTGCAACCGTTGGAGCGTGAAAAAGTGGGTTTTTCATCAAAATTTAAATCTGATGCTGGGTTTGGTTCACCGTTGGAGATGGTCTAACACAGCAGTAAACAAACCAAAAGCAAGCAAATACTTAAATTGGGAAAACAAGTTTTCCAGATGAAGTGAAAGTATCAAGTGAAAATATACCAAGTAAGAAAATAGGGCAATTAGGAGGGAGCATTGGCAATTTGATGTTCCAAGAGAAATTCAAATGTTTACCTTAATAAAGCCAATTTCCTTGGCATTGCTGCGAAAGCACTGTCTGCAGCACATAAGCCCATACTTTCGGATCAACCCATGAGGGTTCCCGCACACACGGCTGCCAAAATAACAATTAATTATGAATGAGAACTTTTGATCTATTTCAATTTCAACAATTTCCATCAGCACTGCCACAAGACAAAATGCCAATGTATTCAGACACTAACTGCCAGGATCAACAACAAAATAAAAGAATGATAATTTAAATGATGGAAAACCAAAATACATAGGGCATGCCAATTAGCCCGGTAGATGACTTTTCTTCCAAGGATTTTGTTAACATATGCCCCAAGAGGGCTTGTCAACAAACTTGAAATAATTGTACATTCTTTATAACAGTGTGCGCCATAAAAAATGTGAAACCTTGCTTTGTTAACCAATGCAGCACTAGTTAACAAGACAATTCTTACAAAAAAAAAAAAAACAAATAATTATTTCAACTGTAAGCATTGTGGACCAAAAAAATTAACTCATTTATCAATTTGTGAACTTTCAACCAAATTTGTAATGTCACCTTCAAATACAATTACACAAGAAGAATTCAATGCAAGAGAGCAAGAATGTATAATTTTTCAGCAAATGCTAAAGAGTGCCTTTGAGGTATTGTTTAATGAGTGTTGCTAACAAGTGCAACTGGAGCACAAGACAAAGACAAAAAAAAAAAAAATTGCATTTTTCATCAATTTTAAAACACTTCTCATGGAATTAAAAACATTTTTTAAACTTATTTAATATTTTCAAAACACTTTTTACACAAATCACAATACTACTTAAGCAATGCCCTATAAGGGCTAGTTAGTATTTATTTAATATTGAAATTTGTGTAAAAAGTGTTTTGTAAATATTGAAAAGGTTAAAAAATTGAAATCCACTGAGTTTTGAAATTAGTAAAAAATGTCTTGCGTACTTCATTTATTTTATCATTTTCTTATACTCCAGGTGCACAAGTTAGCAAGACACAGTTTTTAATACCTTTCCCCACTTTCTTGATAATATTCTTTTTAATTATCAATTCCAACAACAATAAAAGATTTAAGCAATTACCAAATACCAATAGAATGTCGAAACTAAAGCCAAATGATGTCAATGTTGAACTTAAGAACTGATAGTCTCATGTTCAAACACCAGATCAATAACAAAGATAACTAATCTAAGCATTCATAAGAAAACAACAATAATAACGCAGATAAACCATCAAGAAACTCAAAACATAAGATATAGAAGTACAATGAAGAATAAATAACGCTGTTAGATAATAAATACAAAAATAATACTAAAACCAACAATTTTCTTGGCTCACCATCCATTTTCAAGGCGACAGCTGAAGCAAATGGTAAGCATAACGATTCATGTGAGGAAAAGAAAGCAAATGCTAAAGAGTGCCTTTTGAGGCACTGTCTAGAGAGTCTTGCTAACAAGTGTGCTTGAAGCACACGAAAAAAAACAAAAGAAAGAGAAACACAATGCACTTTTCATCAATTTTAAAACTTACAACACTTTCTTTTAAAACTTATTCCACCATTTTCAAAGCATTTTTTACAGAATTTGTGTAAAAAGTGTTTTGTAAATGTTGAAAAGCTTTAAAATTTTTAAAATCTATTGAAAATAATGAAATTGATGAAAATTGTCTTGTTATTTTCGTTTCTTTTTGTCATTTTTTTGTGCCTCAATGAGCACATGTTAGCAGACTCTACTTTTAATAGCTGTTTTTAATTATATCCAACGAACACAGTATCAATTCCAACAATAATAAATAGATTCAAACAATCACCAAATACCAAATCAATAACAAAGATATCTAATCTAAGCATTCAAAAGAAACACATGAATAATAACAGCACATAAACCATCTACAAATTGAAAACAATAAAGAATCAATAACGCTGTTTCCACACAATCTGTTAAGAGGAAAAAGAAGACTCAAAAGCATCAATTTTCTTGGGTCATCATCAATTTTCAAGGCAAACACTGAAGCAATCGAAAAGTAACAACGATTCATAAGAGTACAGAGAGAAGGGTTGAGATGCAAATTACCAGGTGCGAGAGCCAGGACCGTAGCTCTTTGGATGCGAATTCCACACGTTCGAGTGACCCATCTTTACTTTTCTCTCTCTCTTCTCTCTGAATCAAAGAAAGACTTCAAACCCTAATAATCGCAACGGATGCAGAATCAGAAGCCTCTCTCTCTCTCCCTCCCCTCAGCGGCGGCGAAGTTGGGCGGCTTTTATAGGAGCAGTAGGCTAGGGTTCGCAAAACCCTAGTATTTTCTAAATTGGACGGGGTGCGTATTACACTCCAGCTTTCAACTTTTCTTCAGTTTTTTTGAATAACTTTCCTTTGTTCGGAAGGGTGACTTTCCTACAATTGTAGGGCGCTGCTAGGTCCGCGGAGGGTGGCTTCCCTACAATTGGAGGGTGCTGTTAGTCTTTATTCGCAAGGGTGGCTTCCTTACAGTTGGAGGGTGCTGTTACGTTTGTACAGATTTATTATAAGTCACATTTTGATAATTTAAATTGTCAGTGTATAAATTATTAAATATTATATATTTATAAAAAATTATGATAATCGAATATCGATAGTTACGTAATTAAATCAGTATTGTATAAAAAAATAGACGGTGAAAAAATAAACAATTGACAGAAATCTGATCTAATGAGATAGTTATCGATATTCAATCAACGTGATTTTTTACAAGCATTTATTACTCAATGAGTTCTACACATTAAACGGTTCAGATTGTCGAAACGGGACCCGTAGTAAGGCCCCACAAGCCCAACAATAACCTCCAATCCGATCACAGACTAGAGGAAGCCCAGTCCTATTCGGAATGGTTTTTTCTCCGCTCCACAAATGGACTGGACTGGACAGTGCTGTTAGATTTATCGGATTTATTACGGGTCTTGTTTTAATAATTTAAATTACTTAATGTGTAGAGTTTGTTGAGTATTTTATTCTTGTAAAAAATTACGTTGATCAAATATCAGTAGTCCCTTGACCAGAATACATTTTTGTTAATAATTTATTTTTAAATTTATATTTACTATTTACAAAAATATATTCCGATCAATGGGCTATCGATATTCAATCAACTTGTCAAACTTTATATATTAAATGGTTCTAATTATTAAAATGAAAACCATAATTGGAGCCCAACAGTAGCCGATTCTATTTGTAAATATAAGGCCAAGTTTGGCATAACTTAAATAATACAAAAAGTTAAAAAGTCATTATTCTATTTAAGTCACATCATCTTATTTAAATCACGTCACCTCTCTAACACATCACATCAAACCCAACCCAAACCCAACCTATATAAGTCAATAAGTCAAAAAGTACACTTTTTTAGAACATCCCAAACCAAATTAAACTCACCTACTTGAAGTTTTTTTTTATAAAAAAAGGTAAATTATAAATTCAATTTTTTTAAATGTACTTAAAATATAGATTAAAATTATAAATATTTTTTAATATAATTTTTTATTTAATAGAATTAATTGAAAAAATAAAATTTCTAACAATTTTTTTATATTATAATAAAATTACTTGAATTATTAATTAAATTAAATTTCTAACATTATTAAAAATTATTAATTGAATGGATATTTTATTAATAACAAAGATCATTTGCTATGAAATTATAAATTTCCATAACCAATGTGTAATATCCAGAATCAAAAGAAACAAATTGTATTTTAAACAAATCTCAAAAGATATATTTGTAATTTACCTAAAGATTCAATTAGTCTCACATGTTAAACATAATTACCCTAATCTCTCTTTTAGTATAGTTAAAACAACCAAAATTAATGTCAATGATTGTTAGACAATGAAATAAATAAGGATAAATATATAATTTAGTAAAAAAATAGGTGATAGCATCATTTTTTTAATTCATATGATTAACTAATTACTAATGAATAATAACTTAATTGCTATGTGAATTAGAGATGATAACATTTTTTTTTATTCATAACAATTTGACATTTTTTTATTAATAATTAGTTAATCGTATCAATAAAAAAAATATTATCATTTATTTTATACTAAAATTTATTTTTATTTTTATTTATTTTAATATTTATCGATTATCTATATTAGTTTTAATTTTTTAATCCTATTAAAGGAAGATCAATATGATTATATTAAAAGTATAAAAGTGATTATATTTTTCTCGGGGATGTGAGTGTCGTTTACCCAAAATAAAATTTTGGGTGGTCCAGGCCCAACGCTTGTCCATATAATATCCTTGTTTTGAGATGGACTAAAATGACCAAAGTTTTGTTTGTGAGTATATTATTTTAATAATTTTTTAGTTTTTTATAAAAAAATGTATAGAAAAATTGGGAGAGTAATGTGATAAATTATAGTAATTTTTTGAGTTTTTTAGCTAAAATTGAAAGTTGCCAAACGAGACCTAAGTGAATGTCTGGAAAGTTGACTATTTTAGTAAGTTATTTTAATATTTGGCTATTTTAGTAGGTTAAAATAGTTCTATTTGGAAAAAGAGTTCAATTTTTTTTATAGTTTGATATGATATTTGTGAGAAAAAAATTAAAAGATTATGAAATTGATGTGACATTTTATTTTATTGGTTATTATAGTATATTTTTGTCTTTTAGTGTTATTTTAACCTTAAAAAAACCAGAACTTTTTCTTCCCAAACACCATACAAAAACAAAATAGATTAATTTAGTCAATTTTGGAAACTTAACTAAAAATCTATTTTGAGTCACATCACCTTTTTATTTTTTTACATATTTTTTCAAAAAATATCAAAAAAATATTAAAAAAGTAACTTTTAATCAATTTCCCAAACACAAGCCAATAATCATTTTATTTTTTCTATCCTAACTATCACATTATAAATCAAAAAAATTAAAAAAATTTCTTAAACAAAACTTGGCCTATTTTGGTAAGTTAGTTAAAAGCCCACTTTTTAATTTTTTTAAATCATCTTATCTCTCTAATTTTTTATACATTTTCTTTATAAAAAAAGTTAACTTTTAACCAGTTTCCATAACAAATCTAAATTAACTAAAAAATTAAAAAAAAAATTAAATTAACTCTTCCCAAACAAAGGCAATGAGTGCATGACTCCTGAGTTGGCCCCATCCCCCTCCACCAACTTAGCCTGTGTTTGGCAAGTGGGTTTGTAGGTTTTTTTGGCTATTTTAGTCACAAAAAACAAAATAGGTTATTTTAATCATAACAAACAAAACATCACATCCAACCCATAATCATTACATTCTTCTCTCACAAAAAAACTCAAAAAAGTCAAAAAGCCAAAAAGTCCTTCCCAAACCAAACTTTTAAGCCCAGGCTTAAATAGCTAAAAAAGCCAAAAAGTCAAAAAGCTAACCCACTCCTCAAACGGAGGCTTAGGGCTTCGGAAATTATGGGCACAAGAGATAGGACATTGGGCGGTAAAAAAATTAATGTGAAAATTACCATTTCTATAATTTGAATCTTGTATTACTTTGATTCTTAATTTTTTAATTATAATATACATTTGAGTTTAAATTTTAAATTTTATTTTAAATAAGAATAATTGAAAATACTATTGCTCAATTTTAAATATAAAATCGTCAATTTGATAAAATATAAACTAATTTGACAAAAATAAATGTCAAAAAAATATTTTTGAATTTTTAAAAATTAATTCTACCCATTAAAGATAAAATAATGTAAAATTAATAAATATTTTAAATATATATATTTTTTTGGTTGTCAAATTAATTTCTATTATGTGTAATGGGTGGATGCTTTATTTTCATTAAAGTTTATATTTTTTCAAAAGTCAAATATAACGATAACTTTAATCTCATTATTAAACGAATCTATTAAATTCAAAAATTCAAATCTAAAAACATTTCATATATTAAATACATTGATTACACATCAAAAACCTAACAACCATCTATTACATGATCATTATCCAAACATATAATAAAAATTAATTTGATAAAAAATTTATCAATTTTACATAATTTTATGTTTGATGGGTAAAAAATATTTTTAAAAATTTAAAAATATTTTTTTGACATTTATTTTTGTCAAATTAGTTTATGTTTTATTGAATTGACAACTTTACCCTTCAAACTGAGTAATAATATTTTCAATTGTCTTTTTTTGAAATAATATTTAAAATTCAAAATAAAATATGTCACAATTGAAAAGTTAAGGATCAAAATGACATAAGTCCCAAATTATATGACCAATTAGTGTAATTCGTCAAAAAAAAAAAAAATATCACCTTGCTTGGTTATCATTTTTCAAAAATATTTTTCAGAAAATTCTACTTTCTTATTTTCCGTTTTTTTTGTTTTTACTTAATTTTTTTAATATTTTGAGCAATTTTTTTAATTTTTAAACATACCGAACATAAATATACCTAAAAAGTAAAAAAAAATTTAAAAAAACCTTTTAAAAATTCACTAAATACCAAAAATATAAAAAAATACGAGAATTCAGTACATTTTTTATATTTTTATATATTTATTAATTTTTAAAAATATTTTTTCACAAATTTTTTACTTTTTAGATATATCTAAGTAAGGTGTATCTAAAAAAGTAAAAAAAATATTTAAAATTTTAAAAATATTCACTAAAAATAAAAAAATACGAAAACCAAAGAATTAAATTTTCAAAAAATTTAATTCAAAAAACTCAAACTAAACTCAAACCAAATAAACAAATAAAATTGAAATTAGATTTATAGCCCCGTTGCCCTATATAAAAAAGTGTATTAAAAATAAAAAAATATTTAAATATTATATGTTATTTATTGACCGGCTATCGTAACAAAATCCTAAATGTTATTTATTGACCGGCTATCGTAACAAAATCCTAAATGTTATTTATTGACCGGCTATCGTAACAAAATCCTAACAAATTTTAAAAATAAATACGGGCCAAAACCATTAACCCGACACATGTTGACATAAAACTGATTCGATCCATTTGCATCTTCTTGTCTTTCCTTCCTCCCTCCCTCTTTGCATGGTAGTTTTATGGCACATCACAAACGGTAAATTATTTAATATTTTTTGGAGTATCACATGTCCATATTTTAAATCAATTACTAATTATTTAGTTCCATGTTATTTCTCCATCACCAACATAAATCGTGAGTCCTTGTGTTTTTCTATCAATCAAAACCTTATGGAGTATCACGTATCCATAATCCAGGAGTATTGAATAATCACCCCACAAACACTCTTATAATGTTTTTTTGGGTTGTATATATCAATTAGGTCTCATTTGGAGTGGACTAAATACGTCAATTTTGGATTAAAATAGTAATAATAAAAACTGAATCACATCACACTTTATATTTTGTTCACGTGTTAAAATAAAAAAAACAA